ATATACCATTTTGGTATACAATTCATTCCAACTATATACCCTATTAGTATAACTATATACTATATTGGTATCATATGCTAGTTGAATCATTTTTTGGTTGTATTAGCTGCATTTATTAGTACAATATTTGATTTTCTTTTAATAATAGTAATATAGTTCAATATCTTGAAATACTTTATTACATTAATATGTGGTACACTATTTTTTTATTTTTCTCTTTATGCATGTGTGTTATGTAATAGTAGTATAGTCATATAGTTGCCGGGAATTAACCTGTAAAACTGTATACCATGTTGATATAGTTATATGCCATATTGGTATCTTATGGTAGTTTGAACATTTTTTTTTGGTTGTTTTGGCTGTATTTTTAAGTGAATTCTATTCAAAAATTATTTATATGAACGCGATTTGCAGTGCTGGAAAATTTTTGTGCTGATGGATATAGATTATGTGTATTATGTAATAGTTTTTATAATTATAGGCAATTGTTGGAACGACCCATACAACTATACACCCTGTTAGTATATGGAATGAGCAAGTTGCTTTGCGAATATTTAGCTTGCAATGCGAGCATGTAATTTTCTCATACTTTTATTGTATCCTTTAATGTTTTGGTACAGTAGTATAGTCACAGATAGTTGTAGCAATATTCTAGAGCAATCATATACTCTGTTGGTATACATGTATACCATATTGGTATCATACGGTACTATAAGTCTTTTTTGCTACATATATTTTTATTGCATTTTCCAATATTTTATTATCATTTCTATTCTAACTAGTATATATGGAGATTTAGTGGCCGTAGATTATATTGTCTTGCTCCATCACTGGTTGGTGTTACTGTTAATGATAGAGTATGCACTAATATTTGTAGGGAAGGAGATCAAGGTTTGCATGGCAATCACGTGGAATTAAAAAAGGAGCAAGAAATAAAGAAAAAAAATAAAAATAAAAAAATAAAGGAGTCAAATTAGAGTGTGAAATAAGTTATGGTAAAAATAACAATAATACGATTAAGGCAAAAATAAATGAATAAAAGAGAAAAAATAAAAAAAAAATAGGAAGAAAATGAGAAAAAAGAAAAGGATAAAAGAAAGACAAAAGGAAAAAAAAGAAAAGAAGCATAGAAATAAAAAAGAATTGGAGAATAAAGAAAAAATTCCCCACAAAAACTGCTATGGGTAGGAAATGTAATTAGTTTATGGGTAGAAAAACGAATGAGTAGACAAGGGTAAATAGTTCTGTTTTTGTGGGTAACTGTGTCAAAACCCCATTTTAAACCAAACCCTGAACTTATTCTAAATGATTTATTACACTTGGGATTGCAATAGTTTTGTTTTTTGTCTTCTACTAATAAATTGAGCGTAAAATTCTTTCACATTTTACATAGTTTTGCACTCGAAAAAAGATTGTTGACTTTCTATATTTTTGTTCGCAACAGAAGTCATGTCTAAACTGCCGGCACAAGGGAATATTCCTTGATCTTGGTCTCCAGTCTCCACCACAACTTATTATTTTGAGAATTAAGTATACGCGTCATAACTACTACACGACCAATAATCATACAAGGTTGTCGTAGCTAGGCAACATAAATACTAATCTCCAGACAGCATATATATATATACAAGTGTACAAAGCCAGGTTGTTCAGTTATATATAATGCTATTCATCCTAACAACCGAAAGTCACGTATATGCTTAAATTTTGAGGTTCAAAACAAAATAGTCTGTCCAATATGTAAGAAAATCAAGGGCAATGATTTTGAGATCGATTTGGCTCATGGGGGTGGTTGTTATGTCTCTTTGCATCTAACCAGAAATCAACTGTTGGTCTGCCCATGTTACACAATAATAAACCCATTGTACTATATTGAAAAAGCATGTGACTCAGTCCTCTCCCCCTACCAAAAGAACACCCCCCCCCNTGATCCAGACCAGTCTTTTTTTAAGCTTCTAAAGGAGATGAAAAGACAATCAACGAGGTGCAATGTGTTGATTTCGCTCTTTGTTCACACCTAGACAGCAGTGATTTTAAAAGCGGATATACCAATGATCAAGAGAAGGAAGAAGCATACAGGGGGGAACGAAAAGGGGGAGTAGGGGGTAGGGGGGCGGTGGGGAAGAAGAAGAAGCGTGGGGGGGGGGGGGGGGTACGAAAAGGGAAGAACGGAATCTCTTTTGCTTTTTTTTTTTTTACTTATTTATTTTTTATTCTTATTTTAATGGTTTTTCCTTTTTATTTTAATTATTTTTGGTTCAAAATGTTCATATTCACGCTCATTATCTGCGTGAATTACACCGACTTTGTCCAGCTGATCACCATTTTTTGCCACATGTGCTTGGTCAATGGTCAGAGGGGTTTAAAATACAGATTTTGAACAAGTTAAAGTATCTGGATAAAAAAAAGTGAAGTAGGAGGACCGGCATGACAAAGTGGCACAAGTAAAGGTGTCATTTAGACCATTCTGCCTTAACAAATTAACCTCTACTCAATGTATACTCATAGACATACTGCTCAAAACATTCTTATGCTTCTTCCTTATTCTAAAAATTACAAAAGAAATACATAGGTCCAACATGTCCTTATTTTCTTTTCCAATTTACTCTATATTAATTTTTCACCGCAAGTATTAAATGATATTAGTTGGTCTTCTTTGGGTCCTTGAAAGTTTTATTAAAGAAAATTTAATGAACAACATGTGAACTTTTTAATATTCTAGTTTACAAGTATTTGGTTACCAAAATCGGATTGCATTGACTGGTAGTTAAGGCAACAATTATGGCGTGAACGGAGGAAAGAAACGTAAGATTTCCAACTTAGAGCACACCGAGTAAGGAAAATTTGACTTTGTATTTGTAAAATATTAGATGTGAAAGAGAAAAATAAAGGTATACATTGTGTCTCTTTCTACAAATCCATAGATTATGAAGCATTACACTTGATATTTTCCACTACGCCGTCCAATCTTTGAATTCCATAAAAGGCTAAATTATATTACATTGGCGAAATACATAGTTTACCCATTCACCTTGCACTTAAATCCCTGTTACACACCTGTTGACCACGGGTATAACTTTACACACCAAACCTTTCAAATGTGTGTCAATTACACACTACTTTTGACCAGCCTCTAAGATGTGTGAAACACGACCAATGTGGCGCGTGAAAAGTTATTTTCTGCCTCACCTGACAAATTACAACGGCAAATTATTGGAATTGGGCCCATTTTCCTAACCCTAATGCCCACTTCTTCATCTTCTTCTTATTAAAAGCAACCATTTTCATCTTTTTCAAATTAAGAGGAACCAATTTCATAAATACCAACCCCCGTCTTCACCTTTCACATCTAATATTTTCAAGCTGGTTATATTTGTTCAATTAAAGTGCAATACATAATTATTCTTCTGTCAATTCTCGTATTAGGGTTCATATTGAATGGAGAATTCGGGTCCAAATAAACCCTAACTATTTTGACCCACCCATCTAAATCAAAACGATTGAACAACCTAAAATGAGAATACTAATTTGAAAATGACGAAAGTAACAACAACAAATACCAGACGCGTTCTCGTCGGAGTCGCCTTCAAAGGTTAGGGCTGAAGAACATTTTGGTGAAAATGGAATTATGTTTGTTAATCTGGTCGAGGAGTTGTTTTTAATCGATCGGGTCGGATCTTTTTTGGGTCGCGATTAAAAAAATGGTCGGGTTGCCCATTTTAATTAAAGAATCGTTTGTTTTTTAATTTAAATAAGCGCGTGTATACACACCATTGAATATTAACTAGGCTGGTCAAAAGTAGTGTGTAATTGACACAAATTTGAAAGGTTTGGTGCGTAAAGTTATACCTGTGGTCAACAGGTGTGTAACAGAGATTTGAGTGCAAGGTGGATGGGTAAACTATGTATTTCGCCTATTACATTTATAAAAACTTCATTATTTAATGTTTATTTTTAAAAGAACTTTATTACAACAACAATAACAACAACAAAATCCTGTGTAGCCCTATAATTAAGTGGAGTTTGAATATGGTAGTGTGTATGCCGTCTTACTCCTACCTTGTAAAGATAAAGATGTTATTTTCGATAAACCCTCGGCCTATGAGAAGTATAGTCACATCATTTGTTGAAAAGAAAAAAAATAACGTATAGATCATGGAAAGGAAATACAGTCAAACCTCTCTATAACAACATCACTATATCACAACACTTCATTATAAAAGTCAAGTTTTTTTCGGAATCAATTTTTATATTATGTTAAATATATGTACTCTATAACCGTACTTCTCTATAATATCCAAAAATATTCAAAACAAACAAGTTTGTTACAGAGAGGTTCGACGGTAGAAGAACTTTATATTTTCTATCTTTAATTGTTTGACATATTTTTTAATTTATTAAAGAACTCATAATTTCCTAGTATGAAATGGAATAACATTATAAATATTTTGGAGTTGTGTAAACTCTGCTTATGTGGACTATGGATAACTAAGAAATGGAACATGGCAGTCATGGTTAATGACTAACAACTGACATCGCACAAAGAAAACGGATAAAAGCATTTGCCTTAGTCTTTGTACGAGTAGTTTTCTACAAAGAAAAAAGACGCGTAAAGGGTATGTTCTGAGTTTTTCCGTGTGTTCATTTGTACGCGTTTTTTCCCCTTGACTCTCTCTATACTCTTTATTAACTAATCGCTCGCTCTCTTCTTCCACTTTTTATTTTCTTCCTTTTTCTCTCTCTTTCTTTCCATATATTCTCTCTCACACAATTCATCAAACACCTTTCGATCAAACCCAAAAACACACAGTAAACGGAGAACGTAATCGCGGTTTTAATTTGGCTGATTGTAATTGATTTATTGACCTAACGCTGATTTGATTTAATTGATTGATTAACCGGAGAAAAAGATGATGAGATTATGTTATAGGCCATTGGAAAGGTGTTTAGGGAGGCGGAGCGGAGATGGGCTATTGTGGCATACGGAATTGAAGCCGCATGCCTCCGGCGACTTTTCAATGGCGGTAGTACAGGCTAATTCCTCTCTAGAAGACCAAAGTCAAGTCCTTACTTCTCCTTCGGCTACCTATGTTGGTGTCTATGATGGCCATGGCGGCCCTGAAGCCTCCCGTTTCGTCAATAGACACCTCTTCCCTTATTTGCACAGTACGTTATTTATTATGCTCTACTTATTTTCTTTCTCTCTTTCCTCTGATTTTCATCTCTTATGTGGGTTATTTTGCTATTTCTTCAATCTGGTGTTTCTGCTTCTTGTTAATTTGTGTATATGATCTGGTCTAAAAGAAAAAAGACAATATTGATTCTGTACTTTGTTTTAGGTCTTCAACAGTTGTGTCCATTTTAATTTTAATGTTTTCACTTCTTTTTCTGGTTGAGAGCTCAAAGGTTGCTCTTTTACGTCTCTTTGTAAATAAATTATAGAAAAAGAAGGTATGGTCTATCTCCAATCGTGCGATTGCATATTCTCGTGTCGAATAAAGCATTTTTGTTTTGCAGCGGGTTCAACTAAACCCAGTATATCTTACACATACTTTAAATATATAACTTAAAAATTTACTAAAATATTACCAATACTAAATCCGAAACTATAATTTCTAAAGTACATGAGTTCAATGCTAAAAATCTTGTAGGTCCAACCCATCAAATTTAAATCTTAGATCCGCTCTGCATGCTTACTGTTTGATCACTCTCTTTGTGTTTGATAAATGAGTACTTTTCTTCTTTGCTAGTAATCTAATTTCTTTGCTTTCAATTTGGTGTAGAATTCCAGAAAGAGCAAGGGGGTTTAACATCAGAGGTGATAAAGAGGGCATTTAATGCTACAGAAGAGGATTTTATTCGATTGGTGAAGCAATCATTGCCTTTAATGCCGAAGATTGCTTCAGTTGGATCATGTTGCTTGGTGGGTGCTATTTCAGGTAGTGAATTATACGTAGCTAATTTAGGAGACTCTAGGGCAGTTCTTGGACGCAGAGGTTTTGATGGGGAGAGAACTAAAGTGGTTGCAGAAAGGTTATCGACTGATCATAATGTTTCATGTGAGAAGGTGCGGAAAGAGGTTGAATCACTTCATCCTGATGATTCATCTATAGTGGTATACTGTCGAGGAGTTTGGAGAGTTAAAGGCATAATTCAGGTGAGCTTACTTATTTGCTGCTTTAAAACCAATTCTGTCTACTTGGTTGTTGAATGACCTAAGCATTTTTGTTTGAACCAGGTTGCTTTGAATAATGTCAAATCTGAATACTGCAAAGTCGCACTGTTTGTTTCTTCTAGATGCTTACTTATGTCTTTGTATCTGGTTATTGTACTTCTTTTCTTTTTCCTTGCTTTATGTGTTGCGTGGTTCATTTAAGTGAACTGCATTTTGGAGTTCTCTGGTTTTCCACGCTTTTCACTTTTCTTTTTTGAAAAGTAAAAGCACTGACTTACAGGAGCTTGCTTCTAAGATACCCATTTATCTTGGTTATGCACAACTCATAGCTGTAACCTCAAAATGTTGCATACTTTTAAGGCCAATGATTTTCAAGGAAAGATACTTACACATAGCACCTTTTGTTTGTAGCCTTTTTGTGTCTTTGCTCCTTAGTCTAGAACTTTGTTATTATTAACGTGCGACAAAGATACTTACACATGGCACTTTGCAGGTATCTAGATCTATTGGAGATGCCTATCTCAAGAAACCTGAGTTAAACAGGGATCCTGTCTTTCAACAATATGGAAATCCTGTTCCTTTGAAGCGGGCTGTACTGACAGCAGAACCTTCTATTGTTACAAGAAAACTTAGACCACATGACCTATTTGTGATATTTGCTTCTGATGGCCTCTGGGAACACCTAAGTGATGAAGCAGCTGTGGAAATAGTCTTTAAAAACCCAAGAGCTGTAAGTCCTTCATTGTTGTTTTCTATGGACAAGATGTGGAAATAGTTTTTAAAAACCCATGTTTGCTTCATTTTTATTATTAGTGTCTAAGTAGCCATATAATATATTTCAGTTTGCATTTCTGCCAAGCTACTAGCTCTATTTGGCTGTTAATACAGTCGGAACTCAAGTCTGTTTAACCTCGGAGGGGGATTGAGACGGCTTTGATGACATTCTTGTTTAAGTCGTCTGAGCACACTTGAGATCAGTTACTCGATTAGATGTAAATATCTTTGTTAAGATATGGGAGTGATTCTTTGTAATTTCGTTTATTTTGATCCAAGAAATGTGACATGGCACTTGAATTTTATACTATCATGAACTGATCTTTTGGTTTGTGTGCTTGCAGGGAATAGCTAAGAGATTGGTGGGAGCAGCCCTTAAGGAGGCTGCTAAGAAGAGAGAGATGAGGTACAAGGACATAAAGAAGATAGAGAAGGGGATTAGACGTCATTTCCACGATGACATAACTGTTATAGTGATCTATCTTGATCACCAGAAGAGCTCTTTCCACTCCAAAAGCACCGTTGGTTGTATCACTGCGCCTGTGGATATCTCGTCCTATCATTCAGATGGTGTTGCAGATGAACCAAGTGGTTAAGAGTTTCTTAAACAGCCAATATAGCCCCTCGGGGCAGTGTATAATGGATACAGTAGGATTATATATAGTAGTGAAAAGGAAACGGTACATGGAAAGAATACAGGGTGGTTGTACATAAAATCACAGTTTTGGGTGGCTGGTTGAATGCATTGCCAGCAGAAGCTTTCAGTTTTAGGAGCTGACCAAACAGATTTTTTTGTTTTTACCAAAAGGGTTTTTTCTTCTCTCTCTCTCTCTCTTAGTGAAATGGAGGCCCATGATTTTGAGCTGAAGTAGTTTTTCATTACTTTATAGTTATCCCAAAGTTTTCTGAAATCCGACATTTCCAGGTTCTCTGTGGAATGGTACTGAAGTTAAAATTAAATAAAAATGAAAAGCAGATCTCCGCTTCAGAAACGAAAAGGTTAATTAAAGACTTCCTCTGCAGTTCAATGTTATTTCAGTGCTGTGGTTTCTTCCTTTGAAATTTACGCCAATCTTTTGTTGTTCATTAGTATAAGTTTAGGTCTGTAACTTAGTGTTACCTAATATTTTGTAAAGAATAATCACCAGTAATTTTTCTTTCACCCACCAGTAATAAGTGGTTCATAAAATATGTTTATCTAATAGAATAACCTTTTTCTCGATTCATTAAATATGAGAATTAGTATCCAATTCAAACTTGGGAATTAGGCTCTCAGGCATTGTATATAAGCGGAGTTATTATCCCTTTCTAGATGCTCAAGGAGAAAGTACTATTATATGCAGCATAAGAGGAATTGATTTCCATGATCATTTACCGTGGAATAGTTACAAAAGTTTCCGGGAAAATAAAAAATAGCCAGATTGAAAAATAGCCAAGTTTCAAAAGTCATCGAAATTTAGCCACTTTAAATCTGAGCGAAAACACTGTTCAAAATCCGGAAAAATACGCCCGCAAATTTTACGGGAGTTCCAGCATAAGTATGCTTGAACTCCCGTAAATTTTACGGGAGTTCCAGGATAACTATGCTGGAACTCCCGCAAATTTTACGGGAGTTCCAGCAAGTATAATTGTCCAGTATAATATACTGGAGTTTGGAGCACTGGTGCTCCAGTCTCCCGCAAATTTTACAGGAGTTAGCAAAGTATACCGGTCCAGCATAATATGCTGGAGTTCGTACACAAATGCACCAGAACTCCCGTATATTATACTGGACCGGTCCCTGTTGCAGCAAAATAGTGGCTATTTTTCATTGACTTGATAAACGCTGGCTATTTTTTATTGACCAGTGTGAAAACTGACTATACCATGATATTTTAACAAAGTTTCCTGCATTTTTACTACCGATTTTCGGTGAAAAAGACCATATAACTAAATTCAATCTCTTTGCGGCACAATTTGGAAGAGCAGGAACTTTCAGCTGTTCTAATAACAGGGGCGCATGTAGCATATACTCCACGGATTAAATTGAACCGAGTAAAAATTTATATATATAACCCATTAAAATTATAAAAATAGTAGATATAAACCAGGGGCGGCAAACAGGCCGGTCGGGGCGGATATGTGACGGGTCGAAAGCGGGTAATGAAAAACGGATAAATTATACGACCCGATCCATATTTAATACAGATAAAAAACGGGTTAACCGGCGGATAATATGGGTAACCATATCATCCATGACTTCTTGAATATGATCACTTTTGGGAGAATTCCTTTCTCCAAATTTGAAGCTTTACAAATGTAAAAGTTAAACCCATTAGTTATCCATTGTTTATTCATTTTCTAAATGGATACTATGGTTCTTCTTCGTATTTGACCAGTTATTAAAAAGTTCATTATCGAATCCATTTTTAGTGGATAATATGAGTAGTTAACTATTTTTTTAGGGATTTTTACCTAGCTATACTATAATATAAACATATTTTACTACCTTTATTTAGGTTCCTTGTTAATTACTTTATATACCTATATTTACTAGTTTTATACAAAACCATAAAAAAAGAGGAAATGCAACATACCTTAAATATAGCGTATCAGTTACACATAATCCCCTGCATTTAAGATTCTCTTCCTTTTCCAAAAGGATTACAAAAACATCTTCCTATTTTGTACTTACCCACCGTAAGAATTCTCCCTTACCCACTGGTGTCCAAAATCTTTCTAACCCAAAAATTTCGCTTACTCACTCCTCTTCCAAAGCTTTTGATATTCGATTTCTCTCTTTCAATCATCCATTGTTATCCCCCAAAATTGCAGATTCTTTCTTCTTCCAAAGATTTTGATATCCGATTTCTCTCTTTCAATCATCCAAGATCTCTATTGAAATAAATAAACCCATAGTGGAAGAGATTACAAGAACAAGGTTGCAAGTTTCTGCAGCTTAAAGGGGAGAAAATTACAAACTAGCAACAAAAAGTATGATATGTACTTCCAAGAAATAATTTACACAAAACAAGCGCAACTATGAACTAAAGGCAGTCACAGATTTGCAAAACTGCCTTCGTCGTGGATACTTTACACTTGAAATACACCTCTCATTCCTCTAATTTACACATATTTGCTCTACAATCAAGTTGTGGGTAAGTTGTGGATACAATACTAATACAATTATAATACTATTATATTAAATTTTTAGTGTAGAGTTGTGATTGAAAGTTTAGGAAAATAAAGATCATAATTGTATCACAATTTTTCAGAAATGTATCGCGATTGTATTATAATTGTATTTGTATCATAATTATTGTAGGAATTGTATTACAAATGTATGATAATTGTATATTTGTTGTATATTGTTACGAGCAGTTGTGAATTTGTGACGAATTTCACAATTTTGATCACAAATATGATAATTGTATATTAATTTATTAGTATTGCATCAGGTATTATTTTGGGTATTAATGTACCTGATACAAGTTAGATACAATTGTGATACAAGTATGATACATTTATGTTTTAAGCATTGATGTATCTGATATAATTTAACTACAATTATGATACAGTTATCATACAATTTCTGAATATTTTTTAATAATATAAAGCTGTAGGCAATGGTAAAGAGAGAAGATGGTGATTCTGGACGTAGATTTAGGGATTTTGATTTTAAAAAAAAGGAGAGAGAAGAGGAGAAGAGAAAAAAAAGGAAAGGGTGTAATTGAATCCCTTAATTGAAGGCACTAATAATGGGGTGAGAGCCTTTTAAGAAGCAATGTATACAAGTTATAAGAAAAACCTAGATACTTATTAAAAACTGCAAAACATAGAGAACATAGGTAAATAAGTTCCTAATATAGTATAACTAGGTAAAAATCCCTTTCTTTTAACCATTTTGTCACCACTAATATAAACCCATAACTTTAAAAATATAATGGATTAAATGCTAAAAAAATATAAAAATTGAACCCATAGGGTTTAAATCCTGGATCCGCCTCCACTAATAAGACCCAAAGGTGCAAGAAACTTCTATAGTGCCATCAATTATTTTGAAACATTGAAATGGTTCTGCCAAATCATTTAATTATGTGCTCGGGGTTCCCTTTGTATCAACCTCAAGCTAACATTAATGACTACTACTGCATACTGATCCTAATTTATTCAAAAATTAGTTAATTTTTTCGCGCTATATTAATGCATTTACTGAATGATTTCTTTCTTATAAACTTAGTTGAGATAAAGATAATAATTTTCATAATAGCAAAAACAAATAAATATGTGTATAACGTAAGGCATACATGCAAATATAAATTAAAAACAAATGTTTAAGGAAAACATCTATATGAAAAAAATAGAACGCAAAAAACAAATCCAATTAAAAGCATAATATACCTTTTTGTATGTGTGAGTTCTCGTGGAACAACCAATCAATGAAGTTTACTTTTATTTTATAGAGAAAAGGAATAAATGAAGTTAATATTTCATTTTTTAAAATTACAAACATTAACGGAAGGCCTCTCCCTTTCCTTCTTGTTTAGATGTTGTTCATTTCCCTTCTTGTTTAAATGTTTTATTTGTGCTTTGCGATCAGTAAAAAATCAAAGTATGACTAAATGATTAGTGTTATAACTTCTGTAAAACGAAGTTAATTTTTACTAATCAAGTACCTTGTCATTATTCTACCATATCTTCACGACTCTTGATTATCATACATAAAAATTTTGACAAAAATAATCTGTTAAAAAAATCAGTATTTGAGTAAGAAAATAGAAGAAATAAACAATAATGTAAAATAGACGAAAGAAACGGTGGTGTCCAAGTGCCTTTGTTTTTAAAGTCTAAATCTTAATTATTCAGATCTTAATCATTAAGTTTTTGTTTTTTTACTTCACAACCACTTATTGAGTCTGAATAGGTCTGTATGATTAAGATCTATAACAGAGATTTAATTTCATTAAGATGCTATCACATATTCATTATTAACTGCCGCCACCGCCTACCATTATCAACTACCACCATGCCACCACCACCGTATCAACCACCACCTCCACCACCACTTCCACCACCACCACGCCACCATCATCCTCAATCATAGCCGCCACCATTATCGACCATCACCACCCACTATCCCCACCACTCCGACCACCATATATCATTCTCACCCACAATCATCACTCAACTACCACAACTGACCACCCCATCACCATCAACAACCACAGCCGGCACTGCCCATCATTATAACCTACTACCACCCACCCACCACCTTCCTCAGTCACAACTACTACCACCATCCTCAATTATTATCGCTACCACTACCAATCCCTACTAGCTACTAGCATGAACCACCATCGTCAACCAAAACTACTACCAACCACCGCCTTTAGTCGGTATTCACCCGTTTGCCATCACCACCAACAACTATCATATTTTAAAAAACTATATATTTTATTGATAGAATACTAGATTAGTTAGTATTTCATTTGAATTTTATGTTTATTAATTTTCAAATAAAGATAAATTTTATAAATTCAGATGTTAAAAATCAAACAGTCTTAATTATTTCTATTCAAATCTTAATACACATCGATTCAGATGTCTTAATCTTAATACACATCTTGATATTCAGATTCAGACGTCTTAATCTTAAAAAAAACAAATGAGATGTCCCCGTTAATTATTTTTAGTTTAAGTTCTGATCATGTTGCAAGAACAATTCTTTTATTTTCAAAAACATAAAAGAAAAGTGAAATCAAAAAAGAAAAAGAAGAGAACCCAAAAAGAAAAAAGATTAGAAATCAAGAAATGGATATCTTCTATGACAGAACCCAATTAAAAGATCTAATATATACTTACAAAGAGAATCATGATTTTCTTCCATTAGAAAAAAAAATCCTCTCGACTACAA